ATTGGTTAATGTTTTTCATAATTAAAATTAATTGTTATAAATAAAAAACATTCACATTTTTTTTTTTTTTTTTTTTGTTTATTAAATGTTTTATTTTAATATTAATATTAATATTCAATCTGTTACAAAAAAGAACAATAAGAACAATTTAGGAAGTAAGAAGAAAAAAAAATAAAAAAAAAAAAAATTAAATTATAACAAGGTAAATATAACAGAGCGTAGAAGCCTCCCAGTGGAGGTACTACATTAGCAAAAAAAAACTTGAGTTTTAAAATTTAGTTATTCAGTAGGTTTCTACACCACTTGCGCTTTAGCCGTTTGGGAGGATTTTCAGGGATAGTCAAGGAAGAGATATCGTGCATGAGTGGGTTTCTATGATTTAAAAGACGGTTATGGAATCTTTGGTAGTGTATTTTTCCCACGTCTGCAACAAGGGGTATGGAGAGGTCGTGATGAAGTGTGTGATTGGAAACGTAGAATGGTGCTTTAGTGATTTGTCTTAGAGTTTTGGATTGATAGGTTTGTATTCTATTGATGTTAGTAGGTTTTGCTGATCCCCAGAGCTGTATACCATAGACCCAAATTGGTTTAAGTAGCATTTTGTATAAGAGAAGTTTGTTATTCAGATTAATATGTTTGGAGGTCAGTAGGTGTCTTAGTTGGCGACTACGATCATTTAGCGTTAAACGTTTGGAGCGTATATGAGGAGCCCATGTGAGCCGGCGGTCTAGGGTTAGTCCAAGATATTTAACGTTTTGAGAGTAGGGTAGAGGTTGATTATTGAGGAAAAGTTGTGGACAGTCTCTGGGGCGTAGTGTAAAGGTAGAGTGGAGCGATTTTGTTTGGTTTAGTTTTAGGCCCCATACTGTGTACCATGAGGCTAGTAGGTCAAGATGGGTTTGCATATAGGAGGCAGCTATGTCTGGGTCAGAGTGGCATGCAAGTAGCGCTTTGTCGTCTGCAAAGTCGGCTACTATTGTGTTTTGAGTAGTGGGTTGATCCGCAGTGTAGATGTTGAAAAGGAGTGGAGCAATAACTGCACCTTGCGGGACACCAGCTTCTATTTTAGAAATATTTGAAAGAATTGTTCCTGAACGCACAGAGAAGTGGCGATCGCTGAGATATGATTTAATAAGTAGATACAAGTAAGGAGGGAAAAATGCTTTAATTTTGTGGAGGAGCCCTTGGTGCCAGACGCGATCAAATGCCTGTTCGACGTCCAGGAACACTACTGTGCATATGAGCTTTTTTTCAAGAGAAAAGGATATCTTATCTACAAGTCGGTGGATCTGATGTATTGTGGAGTGATTATGCCTGAACCCAAATTGAGTATTGGGGAGGTTTTTTTCTATGATTGGTAGGAGACGTTTAAGAATCAGTTTTTCGAAAATTTTTGAAAAGTAGGGTAAGAGGCTGATTGGTCTATACGATTGAGGCATTTCTGCTGGTTTACCTGGCTTATGGATCATTATTATTATAGAAAATTTCCAGAGTAAAGGAAAGTAGGTGAGCCTTATCATAGAATTGTAAATAAAAGTGAGGAACAGTAACGCCTTTTTTGGGAGATGAACTGCAACTTCAGATGTGATTAAATCGTATCCGGGTGATTTGTGTTTCTGTGATTTTTTAATTTGGTATGCAACTTCGTGAGGAGATATATATTTGGGTGGCATTGTCATAGGCAAAGGAGAGTCAAGGGATGTGTTTATTTCATCAACTTTGATGGGATTAAGTAGTGAGTAGTGTGGTTTAAAAGTCGATGAGAGGTGTTCGCGGAAAATGTCTGCCATCTCTTCGTCGCTTATTGACCAGGTACCGTCTGGATTTTTAAGAACATAGATTTGTTGTGGAGTTCTTAATATATTTTTTGTAGCTTTCCATATCGAGTTGTCTTTTGTGGTGATTGAGGAGAGATGTCTATTAAAACTCTCTGTTCGAATTTCGGAGAGGGTGCGTTTTAGTTTTTGTGTAAGATTATTATAGTGGCGTTTGTCAGAGGGATACTGGGTTCTTTGCCAGATAGCTCTGGCGCGACGCTTGATAGCAATTAGATGTCTAACGTAGGTAGGGAGGTTTTGATTTGTGGATTTTGGTGGTATTGGAGTAGACGAAGACCAGGCAGCTGTTTGGATGGAAGTGGTAAACGAGTTAATTGCATCATCAATATCAGAGGGAGATTTAAGACGAGTTTTTAGATTTATTTGTTTATCTATAGTAAGTTGAAAGTGTTCCCAATTCATATGGCCATTCGTGAGGGACGGAGGGAGAGGTTTAATAGGTGGTAATTTGTCAATTGACAGCAGAACGGGGGAGTGGACTGAGCAGGGTTCATTTAAGTTTGTTATATGACAGATTCACATTTAAATATTATTTTTTGATGGCACATCACGGCAGGAGCAATGATGAGACAAATAATCTATGTCCAATGTTACTTGTATTATTCTATTTATGTTTATTAAATAATTTCATTTTCACAAATTACATTTCTTCTAATTTTTGTTCAAAGTATATTTAATAATATATAGTCTTAACTTTCTTACGATACATGAGTAATGTAACAGGAATTGATCGTTTCGATTTTATCATTCCTTTCGTTTCGATATTTTATTCATATCGGTATTTTCATTCGATTCGATACCAAGTAAAAGTATCGATACTTTTTTTTTTTTGGTACAACGTCCCTACATAGATTTATAAACTAATAGTTTATAGGTCTATGGCCGTACGTTATCTCGGTCCACGATTTAAGATTTATAGGTTAGCTATCGTATATCTAAATTGCATTGATAATCACTCTGCAGTTCAAGATATCCCCAAGAAATTAAAAAGAGTAGACAAAAGAAAAATAAAGTCAAACTAATCTCAACGTAAATAATACAGTTTTTTGCTTATTTTTTTTATTACGAGTAATATATTGTTTCTTGCAGACTAGTATTTAAGGGGGAGCATGGGTAGACACATGTCCGGGGGCGTCAAGTCTTAAGGGTGGCAAAATATTTTAGCAAAATTAATTTTTAAAATGATTAAGTTTTATTTTAATATTAAAGAATCTCGATTATGGGCAAAATAATAAATGTTATATTATTATTATTTATTTTGGGGGGGATCATAAATTATATGCCCGCTAAATTTTTAAATATGGTCCTAGTTTCTTATGCTATTTAACTGCATTATTTGAAAACATTTTAATATATTTAGATATTTAATTTTAATTTTATTTTAAAGTATTATTTGCTTGTGGCCTTTGCAATTATTATAGATTATATACAATAAGTAATAAAAATTATTTGTTACTTTATTGTATTTATTTGTATTATTTTGATACAGTTTTGAAGAAGGTAAAAGGTATTTTGGATGACAACAATATTATAGTATACTGGAAAACAATTAATGACAGTTGGTTTAAAATTAAAAAAAAACATGTTAAATATAGTTGAATATTTATGTTTGTTTTAATGAGTCACATTGCAAGTGACTTTTAGTAGAATAACTACAACTTTGAGAGATGATATGGATATAAATATCAAAAAACCTACTTTTAAATTTCTTAACCAATTTTTTTCTGTGTAATCAACAGTTTTAAATAATGATAATGCATCAATCGTCATTTAAAGTTGTTCGAAAATAAATAAATACTTTATAATAATTTGCCATTTGGCCATCTATTAGTAATGATAATTAGATATTGACATAATGATATCTAAATAAGTATATTTATTACTAGAGTCCAGATTTATATGCATTTGCATGTTTGTACTAAGTGTATGCATGTCTATGGAGGTTTAAAATGTCCACGATTCATATCACACTGAATTTAAACACCAAACTTTAAATTGCATATTTTGTATATTTCAAGGGTTATTGCATATTTGTTCATAAATACATAAAACATGCATATTTAATAGGGTTTTAAAGAATTAAAAATGTTTGTATTTTATTCAAGTTTTCTATTCGTTTTTTGAGAATAGGTAACTTCAAATGATCTAAAATATTTATAAAATCTAAAATATTTATTTTTAGTTTTTTTTATTTGTATTCTTGTTTTTAAATTTCCTAAAAGTTTTAGATTGATTTAAATGATTTGAAATATTAAGCAGTGGGTATTATCATTTTTTTTTGTTTTTGATAAAATATTTAGAATTTTATTTGCTATAAAATTGCGGTTTTTTTTTTTTTTAAAAAAATACATTTTATAAAGTGTAACATAATGCATATCAATGCATATTTAGCCACTTTTTCTATCCATATTTGCATCATATTTAACACTTTTTAAATGCATATAAATCCGGGCTCTATTTATTATAACTTATATTAAATTTATAATAGTAATTATTAAATTGTATTATTTAATACAAATCAAAGGATAGTACCAATAATTACACAATGTAATGTATATGTCGTAGCCACTTAGTGAAATTAACAATTTCATGAAAAGTTAACCATTTCATGAAATGGAAACGACTTTTTAACACTTCGTGAAATACGGAAATATTTCATGATATGGTCACTTTTTCATGAAACGGTCGTTCCAATTTGACATCGTGTAATTTTTTTCACAATCTGGTCGTTCATTATGTGTACCGAAAATATATTTAATATTTATCATGGTCTTATAATCATTTTTATCAGTAGATATGAAATATGTTATAAGTTATAATTTATAACTATTGATTTAAGCACGAAATTCCTTTACCACAAATTCTATTATACAATAATATCTATTGAATAAAATTACTTGGTTATCTGAAACGAGCCGATTATATTTTATTAATTTTGATTTATCATATTAGATTTTTGTTCAAAAGTGTATAGTCGGTGAACGGATTACATTGTGCTCGAACATTCACGCATTTTAGATATTTACTTTAAAATAATTTTGTATAATTTTAATAATATGGAAGATTTTAATCCAAAAAGTGAATTTTACATTCGAATGAACAAGTATTATTTGGACAAACCGGGAAAAAAGCCATATACAAATTATGAAGATTGAGACAATTATGGCCGAAATTACTGATGCTAAATTAAACAAGTACCTACAAAATAGATAATTTGACCACTCATTAATCGTGAGTATCGGTAACTAATTTAAATTTAAATTTCACAGAGGTGCAAAGAAAATAGGTGATTATTATATTTTACAAAAATATGATGTATTAACTGTGGCTGAGAAGAAATATTTAATTCATAAAAAAACGGACGACAAAGATGATATCAAGTAAGATATATTTATATCTATAAAGTAAATAAGTAATTAAAAACAAATTGCGTACGAAAACCATACTGCGATGACCGCGGCGCGACGGTCCAAGAGCGATCACTGTGCTCGACTGAAGGCTTGCCAATAAATATTACGAATGTGCGCTACAGAAAGTGGAAATCCGACGCTATGGCACATTGCACGTGAACATTTATACGTGTCGTAGCGCCACTTAGATAAAATAAATAAATAAATGATAATATACAATGATAATTAATTTATATATTTTATAGGTATGTTGTGTCATACGAAGACTTGTTTGAAAGACTAAGTGATAATCATATACGTACTGGACATGGTGGTGTGGGGAAAATGCGTGCGGCACAATTAATATTTCGATTTCAAGACCAGCTATTGAAACTTTTCTATCAATATGCGCAATCTGTAATAGTAAGAAAGGGTCAAATCGTAAATTGGTTATCAAACCAATTGTAAGCAAAGACTTCAACGAGAGAGGTCAAGTTGACTTGGTGGATTTCCAGTCATTACCTGACGGAAAATATAAATGGATTTTAAACTATCAAGACCACCATACAAAATTTATATCTTTATTTCCACTTGAAAGTAAACGAGCGGTCGAAGTAGCATCTAATTTACTCACAATTTTTTTAACTTTTAGTGCACCGAAAGTTTTACAAAGTGATAACGGTAGAGAGTTTGTAAATTCTGTTATTAACGAAATTAAGGAACTTTGGTCGGAATGTATTATTGTACATGGGAGACCAAGACATCCTCAAAGTCAGGGAAGTATTGAACGTAGCAATCAGGATGTCGAAAATATGCTTCGAGCATGGATGAAGGACAATAAATCTAAAAAATGGTCTGTGGGATTGAAGTTTGTCCAATTCCAGAAAAACTCTTCACACCACCGCATAATTGGCCGATCTCCTTACAAAGCATTATTTGGTTGTGAGCCTAAGGTTGGATTAACAACATCTAATTTACCACAAGAAGTTTATATACAAGAATAAATAAATGTTAAACGATATTGCGGAATTTGTAAAATTGAATCCACAGAAGACTTTTGTAATTTGTGTAAAACAAATCAAAAAATAGAAGAAGAACGTGAAGCAACGCATATAGGTCAAAACAAAGCCGCCAAAAGAATGTTACAGGTATCTAATTATTTATTATTTATAACAATTTGACATACATAGTAAATAAAATGGATGTGTACAATATATTTAAGTAATTTTTTTTTTGTTATTTGTTATAGGTTATAATTCCTACGTTCAATATTAATGACTGTATCACAATTCCTGTTCCAAAAGTCGATAGAGGGCCTTTGGACCCAGCACGCATAATTGCTGTTATAGTTGAGAAAAAAAATGAGTTGTATAGAATAGGAACTGAACATGGTTTAATTAAAGGATGGTTAAGTTCTGGAAATATGCAGCGTACCACATCACATTTCATATCTGCTAATCAAGTTGACAAGCAAAACGAATTAACTTTGCGTGAAACAGTTAAAATTATATCTGGAGGTCAAGGATTTTTGAGTTGTACATGCAAAAGTGCTTGTCAAACTAAACGTTGTGCTTGTTTTAAAAGTAGTATTAAATGTAACAGCCGTTGCCATAATTCATTGAATTGTTTAAATAAATAATTATTAACTATACGATAAATTATATTATATATAAGTTATTAAAATTATTATATAATTTATTTAATTACCTACAAATTACTACTCGTATTATTAATTATATCAAAACTAAACTTAATATAATATACTTACCATATTACACAATGTAACAAACAAAATTATTATAAAATTTTGATAAATATAAAATATTTTTTCGGTACACAAAGTGAACGACCAGATTGTGAAAAAAATTACACGATGTCAAATCGGAACGACCGTTTCATGAAAAAGTGACCATATCATGAAATATTTCCGTATTTCACGAAGTGTTAAAAAGTCGTTTCCATTTCATGAAATGGTCAACTTTTCATGAAATGGTCAATTTCACTATGTGGCTACGACATATATATATGTCAGTTATTCAGTAATATATAACCCTACCTTCTACTAGCGCTTTACACGTGTGTTGAAAATATTAACTTCTGAACCGTAACGCAGTCTGACCGAGTTGCGGACTAGCGATAGTTAACCTGTACATCTAAAAAAAAAAAGGTAGGTTTTCCAAGGCGCGAGATATGTCGCTGCGATTTTGGTAAATTAACCTAACGTGGCCAAGTACAGATGTTTTCAGGTATAACGTGTAGTTAATACTAATAATTTTAGTTAATATAGTTTTGTTTAAATTACTATGGATAAATTTATTGAAATAAGCATTAATAATAATGATATTTTGACATAGTTATTGGATGAAGAAGGTGAAGAAGATTTTATATTTTTCCATCTGAAGTCAAAAATAAAACAGATATGTATAATATGTTAAATATCGTGATACTGAAGGTTTTTACGAAATATTAATTAATAGACATTTAAAAAATAATAACATTCTTAGAAGAGGATATCTGGAGAAAAATTAAAATCCATTTTATGAATATGAACCGGAAAAAGTGCTTTCTATTAACAATATTATTTTATTTTTGTTATTGTTTCAATAGTTGCTGTGATGTGTCGCGGCGACTTGTCGCACAGCACTACTCCCGGAGCAGTAGTGTCGTCGGTCGCGGCCACCCAAAGTTCAGTCGTGTTTTGCAAAACAGTTGATATTATTTTCGTGTAAACGAACTGTGTAACTAACCTGACTTTCTTTTATACATATAGATTTTGTATTCATAATCATAATTCGTATATTATTAATAAGTAATTATTATTTCTTGATATGACATTTTGTTTAAATTTTCATGTCAGGTAAATATTTTTGGTATTTTTAAACTTAATTTCTGATTTTTCCTCGGAAGTTCCAAATATAATAGGTATTTGATTTTAATATAAACATGTCACTCATACGCTGAATAGTCATTACTTCCCTCTTGGAACCCGTAAAGTCGTTACTACTTATAGAATGATGAAAATCATCAAATTAATGTTATATGGAAAACAATATTATTAACTTAAAATATTTTTTTATATATTCATCTTGATACGTACAGAGCAAATTTAATTTTTTTTTTTTGTGTAACATTTTAGTGACTATCATTAAATATTGTACATTATGTATTAATATTGCTTAATGGTACACTACCTACATTATTACAATAAACATTAAACACCTAGGTACCTATTGATAATAATGATTATAATTGAGTTTTCATAAAAATTATTAGAATTTGAAATATTGACCAAAAAATAATATTTTTTGAAAATATCTTTTTTTTATCTAGATAAAAATGAAATTATCTTTTATCTTTATCTAGATAAATGTTGCATTATCTATTCCCAACACTGATAAACAGATATTGACGACATGTCGCGCCTTGGAAAATGTATCTTTAAACCAGTGGCGTAATTGTGGGGGGGGGCAAGTGCCCCCCGTGACAATTTTTTGAGAGATAAAGGTATAATTTTGCCCCCCAGATAATCCATCAGTACAAATAGCACCTTTTATTAATGAACTCTTATGGGTATTATTTAACAATATTGGTACCTAGTACCTGCTACCTACATTTTATGTTAATCTAAACCACAAAATGAGTTAAAAGACTTATGTAAAATCAAACAATTAGATATAGTGTATAAAATACATACAATAAAAATATCTTTTAACTGGTGAGGTGGAGGGGTGTCAAGGTTTTGGTAATAATAAATATATTATATTGCCTCCCTAGACTTTTTCCCAGTTACGCCACTGCTTTAAACCAATCTTTATACATTATAAATATTATCTATAAAGCCGGTCCCTCACGACTCGTGTACTTTCCGAGCGTATACTCGGCGAGTGTACTTGCCAAGTTTGTACGATGTACGATGTTTGTAATTATGTTGCTCCTACACGACTCGTGTGCTCGCCGATTATTCGTCAATCATTATTCAATCAATTATTCGTTGATCATCGCCAATGCTCTTACACGACTCGTAATCGCCAACAATTAACAATAAATAATAGTTTATTTTGGGGGAAAATCCAAGATTAAATTTCTTATCAGCACGAGTCACTCGTGTTGTATCCGACACCAACGGGAAACCGCGAGTGACTCGGCGAGTAAAAATAATCGTCTTAATTGACGATTAAACGCCTATACGACTCGTAAAGCATCACGATTGACGATTATTCGCCTAGTACACGAGTTGTGTGGGCAGGGGCGGATTGGCCTATTGGGATATCGGGAATCTTCCCGTTGGGCCGGTCTTTGTTTGGGCCGCTCTATATATTTATATAATTACCAAAAAAAAGTTTTATTTTATAAAATAAATAAAAATCATTAAAAAAAATAAATATATATTTAAAGATGCATTAAAATCAAACTTCAAGTTGGAACTGATGTGACTTATTGCCAATCCGCCCCTGCGTGTGGGACCGGCTTAAACCTTGCCTTTAAACCATTATTTAAGATAATACTATTATAATTATAATATTATATTAAATCATGCTTTAAACCGTGTCTCGGTCCGTGGTGATAAGAAACGATCACAAGATAATAGAAACTGTGAGAGATAAGATATTTTCGGTTGGGAATATTCAATGATAATAACACGAATACATATGTTTTCCCAGTTTACCGCGTTTGAAATATTTCTCTCTTTTGTTAGGATTTAATATTCTTAAAACGAATAATTAATTGTTTAAATTTACGCGGGATTTGTATATTGGTCGTTCGTTACGTCTAATCTGTTCGTATATATTATTTAGCTGTATTAAATGCAATAGGGTTTGAACGTTTTGAACATATTTACAATCTATGTCATTTGTTTGCCGTCCAGTTAGTTGGTTGATTTTGTTTTATCATGAGAAGAAGTCGGGCACCATCTCAGCAGTTTCCACTTGTTCCTAAAGAGGATTTAGGTATATTTTATGTCCATTATTTATTTTGAGAATAGTATTACTGTTTTGAATTACTCTATTTGATTTAGATTTAGGATGTTTACATTATGTACTTCCAAGTAATTTTTTTCTAATATGATTTCTAATACCATCAAGTACTTTAAAATGTATACCAGGAATTGAAATGGCGCCAAAGTGTCATCGTGATCACGAAGATGACTACAATGCTTATAGTTACTGGTTCAATTCATATTGCTTTGAATTACAGTTGTTTGTTGTATAAATGTATAAATAATACACTGTGTAACTTATTATACACTTCAATATGTTGTACAATATTCAAATTAATTTAATTTAAATAAATTTACTTTCAAACATGTTTATGTGATTTTCATATTCTTCGATATTTATGTTTAGAAAAAGGAGTAAAAGTAGTTAGGTCACAGTCTGATATTCTTGCACTCATTAAGTCATGTGATAACACAACTACTATTGCAACAGATGTATCTGAAACTTTTGAGCCTCCCAGCTGTGCAAAAGAAAGTCCTGTTGTTCCTCCTTTGCAAGTCCCTCAAAATGTGCCTAAAATAAAACTAAAACCTATAGGTCCAAGAATATTAAAATCTAATTTACCTGTATCAGCTCAAATACCAGAAGTTGAATGTAAAAAAGAAATCAAAGAGACTGTTGTTCAATCATCAAATAGTTTGAATAGTAAAAAGTAAGTATTATTTTAAGTTAGTTATTATTTGTTTATTAATTAATGTCTGGTTTTAGATATAATGTCACTTGGGGCAAGCAGACGAAAAAAAAGCATAAAACATGGGAAGGTGATGGGTACCTCACTGTACATGAAAAATTAGCAACCCTTTATGTAATAGTTGTATAATAAGCCATATTTTTCTCTTTAATAAAATATTATTTTTTAGGATTTAGAAGGTCATAAGCTGGGTTGTACCACTGATTTAAAACCTTTGGATTTAGAAGATGGCTCAATTATTGTTGTTGGTAGTAAACAAGTTCAGATATTAGATTTAGTTATTGAATCTGATATTGCACAGAGTGAAAAATTATCTGTTGTATCAAGGCCTTTACCTCCTCGTAAACGACCTAAGATATCAGTAGACATGAGTTCACCAGAAGCACTATTCATGCCTGAACCTGATATTGATCATCAAGTAAATGAGTTCATATAAAATTGTTATTTGTTGTGTTCATTGTGTTGTTTATTAAATATAAAGTCTTTCTTCAACAAAAAACACCAAGAAATTACTCCAGTTGTTCTTGAATCTTTCTTAGCAAAACACCTTAGACCTCACCAGAAAACAGGAATTACATTTTTATATGAATGTGTTTCTGGCTTTAAATCAGAAGATTATTTTGGTGCTATTTTAGCCGATGAGATGGGTCTTGGCAAAACATTTCAAACTATTTGTTTAGTTTGGTATGTAATTATTTTAATATTATTATTTTAATGCTTTTATTATTTGTGATTTATTATTAAAGGATGTTACTAAAACGAGGACCATATGGAGGAATACCATTGGCTAAAAGGGTATTGATAATCACACCTAGCAGCCTAGTAGGAAATTGGGAAAATGAATTTACTAGATGGTTGGGAAAGGATAGATTAAGATTATTTGCTGTTGATCAAGTAAATTTATTTTAAAATTTCTTCAATTATCTAAAATGTTATTGACTGTACTAAAATCAAAATTTTTTAATTGCATAGAAAAATAAACCTTCAGAGTTTGCTAGATTACCTACTCGGAACTATCCTGTTATGATTACCTCTTATGAAATGTTGGTGCGTTGTATTGAAGAAATTGAAAATATTAATTTTGATTTAATGATTTGTGATGAGGGCCATCGGTTAAAAAATAATAATACGAATACATCAATAGCATTAAATCAGGTAAAATGTAAACGAAGGGTTTTGTTGACCGGTACACCAATTCAGAATGAGCTCGCAGAATTTTTTTCACTAATAGACTTTGTTAATCCTGGAATATTGGGCACTTATGCAATGTTTAAACGTGAATTTGAGGATATAATTGTAGAATCTCAACAACCAGATTGTCATCCACAAATTATTGCTCAAGGCAAAAAAAAAGCTACGGAACTTAATGAAGTAACTGAAAAATTCATTTTAAGAAGAACTCAAAATGTTAATAACAAATATTTACCTTCAAAAAACGAGTATATAGTATTTTGTGCAATGACCCCGGTTCAAGTAATTATTTTTAACTTCTTTAATGCTAAATGGGGTTAAATTAAGTTTTATTTTAGATCTCCTTATATGAAGAAACTGTTTCATATTGGGAAAATCGTGTTCAAGAATTTGGTTTGAGTATTATTTCACATTTTGGTGTCATTACTACATTGAAAAAAATTTGCAATCATCCTGATTTAGTACTGAACAAAAAAAATATCTCCGATTCTACCGAAGTACATGAAATATAAGATATATATTTGAATGCAGTTAATTTATTTTAATTTATAAATTGTATTGAATTGATATTTTATAGGAGACACTAACTCAACATTTGAATCGTACTGCTGTTTCAAAACATTTGTTTATAGAGAGTTCAGGAAAACTTATAGTCGTCGAGAACTTACTAAAAGAATTGCATAAAAATAGTTCAGAAAAAACAGTTTTAATATCATACTATACTCAGACATTAGATGTATTTGTAAAGCTATGTAATATAAAGAATTACAAATATTTGAGACTTGATGGAACTACTGCTACCGCCCTGCGAACTGATATAGTTAAAAAATTCAATACTTCACAATCTGAATATAGTATTTAATAGTTTTTACAGTTAAATTATAATTTTTGTTTTGAGTTCTATAATAGACAATTTGTTTTTTCATAGGTGTTCTTTTATTAAGTGCCAAAGCTGGTGGTGTGGGCTTGAATCTTGTTGGTGCATCTAATTTAATTTTGTATGATTCTGATTGGAATCCAGCATCTGACCAACAAGCTATGGCGAGGATTTGGAGAGATGGTCAGAAAAAAAGTGTTCATATATATAGGTTACTTACAAGTGGTACAATTGAAGAAAAAATATTTCAAAGACAAATTAGTAAAACTGGTCTGAGCGAAGCAATCACAAATCCTGATAATCAAAATAACACAAAATTATCATTTGATCAATTAAAAGTAAAATTTCTACTTTGTCAATATTTTATATCTATCCTAATATTTTTCATAACTTATGTGTAAATTTATTTTTAATTTTACATTGACATTGTAGGATTTATTCAATTTCAAAAGAGATGCACTATGTTTGACTCATGATTTATTGGAATGTGACTGTGGTGGTAATGGGCTAGTTCTTAATAATAATAGTAATCATGAATGCAATGATGAAAAATCTGAAGCACCATTAAGAGTGAATGAACTAATGAAATGGGAGCATTATTCATCTCCCTTTAAGAAAGATCTTTTAGATGTAAGTATTAATACTACTTCATGATTATACTATAAGACAAATTAAATTTGAATACTTGAGCTATCAAAGTAAAAATAAAATTACTACTGGAGTATTATGGAGTAATATTAAAGTAATCAATGTGTTTGTTGGCTAAATTATGCCTGTGGTCTAAAAAGGTGACCCATGACAGAAAATATTGGTTTTTTACACAATAAAAATTATTATTAATTACCAAACAAACCATTGTTTATTTTCAAATTGTCACCAATAACATATTGTATCAAATATATAACTATATTTTTATTGACGCAAGGAATGTGGTAAAAATAAATATTAGGTAAACATAGTTAATTTGTGCAGTGGTTAGTTATTTATTACTAGTTATGATAACAGATATTACTGTAGTTCAAATGTTAATTGTTTTGGTTTCTAATTTATTAGTTGTCATTTTCTAAAAACTGTAATTGTAATCTTTATACTTAAATTGCTTTGTTGTTTTAAAAGACAAAGATAAAAAATGCCTTTGTATCTTATAAATTACCCACATTCATTTAATATACTATCTGTGATTTATTATAATACATTTTTAAAATTATTGTTATTATGATTATTTTCTTTTAGGAGATGAACCTGTTTGGAGTTTCAAAAACCATTAAATTCTTGTTTAAAAATAAAACAAATTAAATTTAATCTAATGAATATTAAAATATTATGTACACACATACTCTGGTTTTGTTTTGAAAGCTTCTTTCGTGTTTTGTATTTAAAACATAATCAATTTATATCAAATAAGCTATTTATAGTTATTAATTATACAATTTTATATTGATGATGTGAATGTGGAAAAAAAACATATTTCAAGCTAATATTTTATGACTCTTGACTTTTAATATTTATTAAATATTTTATGATACACTCAAGAAAGTGTCTTGTAATAATGTATAATTTTATATTATATCACAAAATATGTCAATCTCATCAACGTTTGGTGTTTGAAGTAGGTATTAAATTATTTTCATAGAATAATCTTAACTTGATACCTATGAAATCGTAGTACCCTAACCGTTGAAAAAAATACTGAAATGAATACATGTATTCTTTTAATAATTTTTTATTAAATACCAATGCAAACAAGATACATAATAGTTAACAATATTTTACTTTTCACAAATAGAATGTTTTTATTTGCACTCTTAAACTAGTATACATAGTTAACACTTATTATATAATATATATATATTTATATGTAAACATGATTTATATAAACCATTAAGTCTTATGATTACATTTAAAAATATATCTTTCACAAATTAATTCAGCCATATTATAATGGTGTAATACTGATACTTTTCTTAAAATTGATTTACGTCATAAAACATGACATTTAGTGATTTTTAATCTCCTACTAAGTAATTATTATTATTATTGTTGACATGTTGCGCTCGAACGTGTAACTTTCTCGTTGAAAGCTAGCGGTCGGTCGAACGACATTGACATTTTGACACAAAGAATTTGAGGAAAAAAAAAATTAACGATGGCACTTCTTGATCGCTCGGTTAATGCGGGACACGCGCTACCGTTACGAATCTCTATGATCTATTCCCCTAAAACTACGTTTTTATGATTGTGTACAATTCCGATAAAAAATCGTTTCGTATTACTTTCGCGGAGGGTGAAGCCACGTGACGGAAAATGATTGATGCGCACCGACACGAGTGTTCGCGATCGAAAGCTGAAGCAAACACGCGCCGAGGGGGCTGACGTGTCGTCGGTAAAATGTGCATGGTCGGCAATTGTTCTCCGCGGACCGGTCGAGATCTCGAAAAATCATTCGTCCCGTTTCGCGATTCGCCGACCAAGTGGCCCCAACCGTCGTCCCGAGAGTGCACACTCGTTCCGGACGTTTAGACGATGGCGCGCGGCCGGCCCTGAATTTACGCGATGACCGGCCGGCCGTTCGACAACAATCGATAACGTCTCCCCTCCCCCACTCGGCCGGGCGTCGAACGTCGTCTGAATCGTACCTGAGGGATCATGAAAACGCGATGTGTACGCGCGTGCAATAGATTTGGACGGAGTTACTCAAAGCGGTCGTAAGGCTGTTACCGGTACCCGGGGTCTGCGTGTGCTTACGCACGTGTACGTTTTCTATACGTTTAGGGGGATGATCGAAGGGCGGTGGTGGTCAGATGTACGGCACGAAATCGTGTCCGGGACTACGATGATGATTTCTAAAAGGACGTAATGGTTTGTGCTTCGGGCCCATAGGTACAACGCGATCGTACACGAATACATGCGCGCGGTGGCGTATTTTCGAATTGTGTGTGTGTGTGTGTGTGTGTGGAGAGGGGGATTTAAAATATTTTTAGGATATAATCGATTTTATAATATTAAAAGAAATTCGTACGAGGTATGAACCAATAATTACAGTCGAGTCGCGATAACTCGAAATTGAAGGAGGATAAAAATACTCTTCGAGATATGTATTATTCGAAATATCTAACTAATTTATAGGGGAAAAATTTTCTAGTGGAATAAAATACAATTCGAGTTGTCAAGTTTTTCGAGTTATCGCGACTTGACCATAGGCGTGCGCACGGGTGCAGCACATGCAGCATAGGTTGCATCTGCCATTTCTGGGACGACGATTTTAAGAATATAGTTATAGTCTATAAAAGGATACATTTGCTTATTGAAAAAAGTTTTTTTTTTACTTCTTTTTTTTTTTTTTAATTTCTCAAGAATTTATTGCTGATATTAAAATTTTAAAATGTATTACAAGTGTTCCAAATAACACATCAACAAAATCTGGATATAATTGGCTAGATTTTTAAAAGAAAATTTAAAGGGAGACATTTTTCCAAATTTTAAAAAAGTCTTAATAGATTTTTCTACTATACCTGTCACTAGCTGCAGCTGTGAGAGGACATTTTCGAAGTTAACCATTGTAAAAACTAAACTCAGAAATACAATGTGACAAGAAAGGCTGGAATCACTATTACTATTGTTTGTTGAACAAAATAATTTAAATAACATTAAAATTGAAAAAATAGTAGACGAATTCAAAATAATGAATTCTGGAGAACACTGAGTACAATTATAAATATAAAAGTGACACATATTAACAGATTTCTATGCATATCAATACAATTATAATAAACATATTATTATTATTATTACATTTTTAGTTTAAAATATAAATCATAGATTACAGTAATATCAATCGATTTTTATATATTTTTTATATTATATTAATAGAAATATATTTTATTGTATGCACATACGTCTCGCAAGTTATTTTTGAAAAATTATGTGGCTTTCTGCCTAAAAAGTTTGAAGATCCCTGCTATATACAGTAATATACTCAATATATGTAATATATAATGAGTTTGCTATAAATGTTATCTTCTTAAAATAAAAGGTATCAAGACCGATAAAAATGTGTGCTGCACCTGACCAAGAACTCTGCGCACGCCTATGGACTCGACTGTATATTGTTTTAGCGTTATTTTAATTACGGATGTTCTATATTCTTTGTACCTTCGTAACGGATATTTTACGACTTTTGAACCTTTTTTTTCTTCAGGGCGGTCAAGTTCCAGGACCTCCCTATCGAAAATACGCCATTGTGTGCACGTGCACTCGATGTACGATTTGTACGAAAAACGTTGCTGTCCCTTCTCCCTTTCACAAACCTTTTCGTCACTCTCCTGCAGGGGCACTACGTGTTGTGATCCTTATCGAAATCCAGCGTTGCCGAAATCACTAATGGATCGTTTGGGCAAGAGGACTCCTGTTGATTCGGTGGTTCAGTGGAGTGGCACGATGTTCACGTGTTTTCCGGAGGCTGTACGTTTAAGGACGTATACAACGTGTACGGAATACTAATTTTTTGCTAATGCATGCGCTAAAACTGTACTCGAATTTTCTCGTACGTTTACCGATTATGTTTTTCGTGTACACCGAGAAGCATCAGGTTTTATTCGACTGGATGTCTACGAAGTAAAAACGGAAGTAACGTTTCATCCTCACGTCTTTAGGAAATGTACTTCGATTGTACGCGATACGGTCGCACAGATAATATACAATTACTTGGACCTATACACACTCACACACATATTTGTACAAAATTTATGTCGTGGGCTAAGAATCGATCTACTGTTATTTAATATGTACGTATTACAATATGCTTACGCGACGGACGACGTTTAACGGCTTGTGGTGGACGTCACGGGGGTGGGGGGAGACGATCTCAATCGCACGGTTGTAATACGAACAAACAGTATTTTTATCACTATTGTTTTGGTATTATTAAAAGCAGAGCGTGTTATATGCAGTTGGTGATGTCCAACGTGGTAGCTTGAGGCGGCAACGGCAGCGTCACGTCCACTCTGGTGCATTTGTCACTGTCGGAATATTTCTTACGGAAACAATTCAAAAAATTAATATCAAACACACGTACGTTTATGTGCTATTAAAGAAGGTTGGATTGTTGCAAGTGAACAGTGCGGAGGGACTGCAGGAGATGGCCAGTGGGCGTCGGTCATAGGTGGTGGTGGTGGTGGTGTGAGGGTAGTGCGTGGTCGTTGTTTTTTATTGTATACGTAAGCCGCGGGTTATTTTTAATCGTCTCGGTCGAGTTGATATGCGCGTGACCTAATGAAATCGAATTTCGCGTCCCCGGACTTGGTAGTGCTGCTTCGCGGGTTGATTTGATTGTGAAATTCAGAACCGTTGTGGGTAAAATTATTATTTTATTTTATTTTCGGACGATACAATATCGAACCGTCATGTGAGTAAATGCAGTCGTAAAAAAAAGAGAAATTAGTTGCTATCGAAGCATAAAATAAGCATAAAAAACATTGCTTTTATATTGAAAAATCTATGCGAACGACGCAGAGGAGATTTTTTTTGAACATCACGTTTCCTGCAATGCATTTACATTGAAACATCGAATTAATATGTGTACGAAATTCAATAACACTTTTTAATGACCCTGGACTACCGTTATGTGCACAGGAATTTCAACTCGTGAGCGGGGTACATTTAATTTTATAGCAGCAATCACATTTGGTGTATAGGGGCTGGATATTTTTTGTTAAAAATGCGATTCGTTGGGATTCATCGTACGCACCAATCGTGATTAAACATTTTTTAGTAGCAGCATGAACGATAATTATAAAAAATTACAACTTTAAATATACACTTGTATTAAAACTAAAACCCTCGGGAGAATAACTATGTACCACCATTTTCTTTTGAAATACGTCGTTGATACAGTATATATATGGTCATTAATTATAAGTACTATATTTATGGTCAGGAAATCTGTGCGTAGGTGTATACGAAAATGTATCATTCGGTTGTTAATACTTACGAATTTCGTTGGTGACGTGGGCACTGGGACGTATTTGACGATCACCGGAGTTCGGAAACAGCAGCACTGCCTGATCACCGGACAAAACGATCCGACCACAAACAACATGACGGCTACCCCTCCGCTGCGAACAATAAACCAAGTGAACACATTTTTTCATTTCAAGGCACGTGACTGTGTTCTATCGGAATTCTCGTCATGGCGCACGATTGGTCATTAATGGATTTTAATAAAATAATAAAAAAAAAATCTAAAACAATGCCTTAGTCAATCTTATTAAATGGTGACATTCACTATTAATCAAACGTTTTTTTTTTTTTTGTATCATGTATTCAACAATTTTTCGGACATCAAAGAATTGTATTTTGGGGCGCAACTAGAGCTCAAATATTGGAGGTGCTGAAATTGCTGAAAATAAAATTAAATGGTATTTAACTTTAATTACTACCTATAGATTATATAAATCTGAAAAAAAAACAGGAGTGCTACATTTGAACTAAGGGGTGCTAAAAACCTATGACTGTATTTAGGTACTATGGAATGCCAAGTATATTAGTTAAAACGTAGAAAGTTCATGCGCATTATTTCAAAGCTAACTAATTTAAATACTAATAGAAGCAGGTAATAAATTTACTAGTGATTTGAAAATTGAAATAATATTTATTGAGCTTTAATGCGGACCGCAATGTATATATATATATATATAAATCCTGAAAGTGGCCTTATACCAAGAATAACAATTCCGCATGTATACAAATCACTCGAAGCCCAAAATAACATGGAATATTCCTTTTACCATCTACGGTTGTAAATTATGATAAACGTTAAAACATTTATCATCTAATAATAAAATTATTCTTTCCATTATATAATTACCAAAATATCTTGTACGATGGCAAATAAACCAACAAAATAATAACTGATTTATTATTGCATTTTAGGAAATAATCAAAAAATTTTTCAAACTCAAACAAATTGGCCGAGTCTGAATTTTGAACACTTGGGGAAATAGTTTAAATTTTGATTTTCGTACAACTAGCGATTCGGAAAACACGAGATCGTAAACGATGGACTGACGGAATTTATTTGTTCAGAGGGTTCGTTTTCGGTTTGCGCTCAGGCTTAGGAAAATTACTGAGAAAATCGAGAAATCGCTTTTCTAAAGTACCGTTTGTGTCCAATTATCCTATAACCTATGATGTTTTCGATCAATGAAACTTTTGGCGCAGATCAGCAGTTTTTTTTATCTGTACCCAAAAGTTGAATCGCGGAAAATATCTCGGAAAACATCTCGTCGTAATAGTAACACCTATAATGAATACGTTTCTCGTCGACTGAAACGTTACACATAACGGAACAGGTGCGGTGAGATAACAAGAGGGGGTTTGCATTGTAAATGCATTTTTCGTTCGACGGCTCTTGATGATAACTTAATGCGTCTCAACTCTTTACGACCGATACGGGTTACAGGTAGAGAGGTAGAGAAAACTTGGACGTGAGATACGAACCGGAACAACGTTTTCGTAAAACCGTAGACCCCGCGAATAATAACGATAACAGGATCCTGACCGAGTGGCGAACGAAGAGGAAAACTAAGGGTCGTTGGCGGGGTACACACTACGGGCAGGGGCGCACTCACCACAGGTACCAGAGGCTGTACACGTTGTCGCAGCATTTACCGTCACCGCAGCAGTACTGTTCGCGCGTGCATAGGCCCGCTTTGCATATGGACGCGGACGCGGCGCCGACGTCGAGAAGCAGCACTAGAAGCACCAGCAACGCGATCAGCGACGACAGCCTGGCCGCGGCGGCCGTGGGTCGCGACGGCCACGGTGGCGTCGGCGGCGCGGGCTTCGCGACGGTTGCCGTCGGGTCTGCGATCATTTTCGTGGCGGTGACACGGCAAACGCACGGACCGGTGCACGTCCGCGGACAAACGACGCACGCAGCTGACGGCGACGGCGGCGTCGTCGGTGGCCGCGCGGCCGCAACGCGCATCATCTCGCGGCGGTACCGACCAGCTGAGCCGATGCCGTGCGGAGGGGGGTGCCGAACAAATCGATACTGAACCACGAGTCGCGCACGGAAGTACCCGAGTGCCGCCGACGCGTTGTTCGTCCGTCGTAAATCTGCGACCACGGTCGTCCGTGGGGGTGTGCTCTGCTGTGTTCAGACAAACGGCTTCTGCTGCGTCGGTTAGGTTTGACGTGTTTTCACGATCTACGCACTCGGATTAAGGATTGCGCAGATACCTAGACCGGTTACCGTAAACTCTTGTTATGCCGAGTCTCAGAGGGAACCAGAAATAGTTCGAGACATCATGGTTTATTAATATTTTAAAATGAAACCAAAATTTATTTTATCCAGTGGTATAAAGTTACATTAAAAAAAAAAAAAAAAAAAGAAATTATTTGTATCGAATCTGACTTGGTTCCTGAGAAGAAAAATATGAAAATTTTCAAAAACTATGCTCATACTACTGAATTTAACACGGACATTTGCTGAATATTGATTATTTGAAAATCATAACTTGTACGCCATCCCTATACGTTCAGAGCCCCGGAGTAAAAGCTTACATTGCAACACATGTGTTAACCCGACCCTGGCAACATACCGCACCCGTCCATCTACCCGATAAACGATGGAATTCATGATCTTTTTTTATTTCTACAATTTTAAATGAATTTCCTAAACTTTAGGACCTAAAGCTTCTACTGAAACTCTTAAAATTATAAACAAGGCTCGGAACTTTAGGCATTTGCATATTTGTCTAGAAAGTGCATATTGAAATTCTGATTCGATACAAATTCGATTCATAGTATGTATATTTCAGATATAAAAAATTTTGTTGCATAACTTTGCATATTTTGTTACTTTTTGTACTAATTTGCATATTTTGGGTTTAAGAACATTTATATGCATATTTCATGGATTTAACAAAATTTTTTAAAAAAAAGTGTATAGTTTAATAATATAATATAAGATATATAACAACCAAAATTCTAAGTGTTATATCGTTTGACAAAAAAAATTAATTCATCAACGGCTATTTTTTGTATTGCTCCGGCTCCCAATGCATTTAACAATAAATTATAATCTTTAGTACCGAGAACTCGTAATAGTGACCACTGCCGGCCCGTATTTATTTTTATACAAATTTACCAGTGTATTTATATTTTTAACATGATACAAACAAATTGTATAACCATAGGTAATTCGTAAACAATTATCTAACTTAATGTATCAGCTTATACACAATATTATTTCTGTTCGTTATAATACTGCATACCTACATCTGCATGCAAGCGACTTCATTGTACAGTGTACACTAGTCAGTATATTATTTTTTAAGTAATTATTTTCCAATTTTTTACTGCATATTATACCGCATATTTTGATGTTTTTTAACACATATTTTAGTATTTTTAAGCGCATAAAGTTCCGAGCCTTGATTATAAATATTCTTTCAGCTTTGCCTATAACAACTGCTACCAATTATCATTTTTTTTTCTTCCATTAAATTAATTAAAATCTATCTACGCTTGACAAGGGGAAATGATCGGCTGAGTGATTTATTGGTTATAGTTGTTGAAAGTGATATTACTGCAAAAATCAGTTTAGATGATGCAGTAGATATATTTTCAAAAATGAAAAATAGAAGATACCCGCTTATAGCTTAAATTATTTTAGGATTAATAGGATTAAGTTAACCTTGTTTAGGTAATGTTTATAAAATACAAAATTATATTTTGCAAACATTTAAGTTGTATAATAATGTCTAGACATTTTTCAAATTACCTGAACTATCCATATTACTGGTAACATATAAATATTTATATAAGTATATTATATATTGTAATAAAATATGTAATATCGTAGAAAAATATTAGCATCTTAAGATTAAAGGTTTAGAGATTTAGAGGAAAAAAAACCGTGTGAAGAAAAAAAAAACAAAAAAATGACAAATCATTAAATAATAATTTATTTAATAAAACATATTAACATCATAAAAATATAAGATTCCTACACAGATAAAAGGTAATGTAGTAAATATTATGAAAATATAAAAAAAAAGTAAAAATTATTATAAAAGAAGAGAAAACTTGGTAATATGAAAAAATAAATATGATATAACAAGGTAAAAAAGAAGAAAAACTCTGAGGGGAAAAAACCAAAATAATAGACTAATTTGGTAGCTGAAAAAAGTAGTTCCATACAAAAAAAGGTATAATAAAATATATAGAAAAAAATGTATAAAAATAATGTAAAAATGTATAAGACATCATGATGTCTTCCGTTTACTGCCGATTAAACATGTAATTACGCATACGGTCGGTTCGATCGCTCCCCCGCCCTCGCTCAACCTCTCTAGATACAGAACGGCGTTTGAGATGTTCTTCCACCCTTCAACGCTGACCTGCTCGATCTCCACGCACCCAATACCATGGTCTCTCGACACTTCCACAGTCTGAGATATGTGGATGGTTTTGGGCAGGTGGAGAACGACACTGGGGTCGATCTCACGTGCCACCTCGAGAATGCTGGCTAATCCGCCCTCCTGGCGGCTACACAAATCTTCGACACTGAACCGCCGGTTCCGATCCCATGCCGAGGCTGACCACGGCGGCGAAGTGATCACCGCGAAGGTGTTGTCGACCCGAAACTCAATCCGGTGGGCGACTCCGAGCTCCACCGGGCCAACTGTATTTTGGCCGGATCGTTGTCCACGGCCACGTGCGAGCCAGCCGAACGGCCAGGCGGCCGACTCCGCAAAATGGGTCGACGACCGTGCCGAAAGTGTATCTTCGGGTCACGGGCGGGGGGGAGGCGGCACGGGTACCGGTGTTCTTAAGTGGCGGTCGGCGGTTTTGGCGACTTCAATGCAGCGGATCCATTGGAGAGGCCCGACGGCAACGTAGTGGGAAAACTGTAGGTGGAACCTTTACCGTAGTCCCTCCGACCGTCACGACCGAGTTCTCGGCATTAGCACTCGTCATATGATCCTTTACTGTTCTCAGCCAGTGCTTTATGTTCAAATTTCCCGAGGCGGCGTCAGGTGGTGCATCCCGGTGAACGCTTTTTCGGTCATCGGTGACCCGTCCGTCTAAACGCCGATGTCCGCGTACTTGTTCTCGCCCAGTATCTTGGTCCTTGAAGCACTGGTATCTTGGTCCCCGGAGCACCGACGCTCCATCTGGGAATACCCGTCCCAAGCGGTGGCATGCGGTTTTCCGACGGTGGTTGACGCGAAGATCACGTCTGGTGACCAGGCCGTTCGCTGCTGTCGACGTGACCCGCAACTCTTCGTCTTCGCACCGGTAATGGATAGAGTAACGCGGGCCTGGTTGGCCATCCTCGTGGTCGCTTGATGACGACCAAAGTAGGCCCGCTACGTTGGAACCGGTTTTGACACTGGAACTACCCACTTCTGACGACCTTTGGGGTTCCGAAGCCCCCGAGGTAGTAACAATACTTGACTGATAGTAACTCATATTGTAGCTTTTCAAGTGATTTCCTTCACTACATTTTAACCCTACTGCCAGGGGGTTTTTGATCAAGGTTTTCCTTCCTCTAGGACGGTTGCCACCCGAGACTAAAGAGCCCGCCCTATCCTTTGTTGAGAACCGCTTTGTCAGCCCTCAGTTCGTCAACCTGTCCAACATGGGAGACCCTGCTGGTAGTAAGCTACCGTTGGCATAGCTCTCGGAACTGTTGAGGAACGCAAGCCCCCCCACCACGTCAAGGTGGGTCCTCATGGGGGGGGGGGGTTAGTAAAGACTTCACACTGGGTGAGTAGCATAACCAGCCCTACGAACGAGGCTGGGAAAGACAATACATTTTTTTTCTATACCTCTATAAGGGTAATCGTGAGTGCTGTCTTGTACTTGCTTTAAAAATGTGACATTAAAACAACAAATTATGACGACTGGCATTACCTCGTCGACTTATCCGGGTGGCGGGCTTATTGCCGGTTTTTAAGAGGAAAAAAAAGTCCCACCGTACCCTGGGTACCCACAGATGGTGTTAAAAAATGTCCTAAAATTTAAGGCTAAGAGTAATGGTTTCGTATTTTAACTGGCGTTGCTTAAATTAAATGGAATTTATTCTAAAATATTCGGCAAAAAATAAATTATATTTTATAATAGAAAACTAGAACTAAATTTTCGTGCAAAAACTTATTATAATAGCTAAAATTGACTACAAAAGTACAAACCATAAATAATTACAATTGTTTGTGAAAAATACACAAGATTCTAGGAAAACATATTCATGAGACTTATTACTACAATATTAAATAAAAAATTTGAATTATGTTTATTTAACTATTTATTAAATATACCTACACGTTTTGGTAAGATAAGGCCCATAAGTAGGGTTGTAAAATTTCATGAAATATATAACTTGAGTGAAAAATAAAAATTTTGTTTCATTTCAGTAAAAATATAATGCTTTATTTTTTAAGGAATAGGTACTTTTTGCATTATTAATTGTACTAAATAGAAATAAAAACTAATTTATATAAATTAACAATCAACACCATATTAGTTTATAGTTATTATAATTTATAAATATTGATTTAAGAGGTAAGAGACCAATAGTTATTGAAACACCTGAAGAAATTTTACAAAATATAGATAAATTTATAAATAAGTTGCCAGTAGTCCCATTACTCATCAGCTATCACATTATTTCAGAAGTTTCTCATCAAAAAAATATATCGGTACCTAGTGAGTTTAAAAGTTAGGCACATATTTATAAAATTTATTGTGAATATTGTGAAACACACAATATTATACCAGCATCTGGAAATGTTTTTAAAGAAAGATGAAAATTACAATTCAATATTGGAGTACAATATTAAATTGTATTGATATACAAATAACAAATAAAATATATATATATATATATATAAAATATAATAAACATAATGTAATTAAATAAATCTAATTTAATGAAAAATAAAAATTATCTCCTTTGCATAGTTAAACTAATAACTTAACAGTATAAAATATAAAATCATAATAATCAGCCATTAGGTAAATATACATTTTTAAATGCTATACTATTAAAAGTATGGAAATTAAAATTACTGAATTCATATAATATAAATATATTATTTAAAGATAACAATATAATAAAATAAAAATAAGTTCCTTTGCATAGTTAAACAAATCATAAATTAGGGAAGTATAATGTTCTCCTTAATATACTCAAGAAAGTATTGGAATTAAAATTTAGATGGCTGAAAACACTTTAGAAAACTTGATTAGTAACATGTAAATAAATCACAGGCGATTAGAACTATTACTTAGTCTACGAATATTATCATAAAAATAGCTGCTATCAATAATAATGCGCCGGTTTTGTCGTTACTACATATATACTCGTATTAATATTAAACATGACTGTGGTCGTTACCTATTTATATGTAGGCAGCTGATAGATTAAACCACGTTAAATGGGAAAGCCCAAAATTGTACCGAACCAATATCATACAATATCAACTGATTAAATGACATTTTACAGTCACTATCTCAATCGTAAAAAAAAATATTTTCCAATATTTCAAATTAACAACCCTATCCGTAAGTATAGTAGGCACCTCCTTAAATACAGGTCTCCACACGCTTATGAGTGTAGTATACTTAAATGAAAAAAGTTAAAGAAAAAAATTTGTATCAGGCAATTGTCAATAATTCATATAAGAATAAGATTTAATACTTAAGAAACTTAAGAAAATTAATAAAAATAAATTATAAATATATTTATTATTATAAATATATTTATATTTATAATAATTTATAATAATAATAATAATAATAATAATAATAATAATAAATGAAAGTAAATATTTCAAAAATTATAAAATAATTATAATTAAATGAATAAAATAAAATAAATAAAATAAATTAAATAAAATAAATGAGGGTAAACAATTGTTTACCCTCATTTGACCCTAAAATAACAATTTTCTTAAAAAAAAATTTTTTTCTTAAATATTTCATGGTGTACGTTTGAAAGGGTTGGAAAGGGTTAAAAGTTCTTATCTGGTAGAAAAATCTGCTGGATGGCCCTACAGCGGCACAACCAAAATATAATAATGTAATAACAATGTGTGGCCCACACGGCGCACACTAATATAAAATAAGTAAATAAATCAATAAATCAAATTACCTGTTAGCCAATAGACCCGTCGGTCTTCGTACAAGACAAAATGGTGGTGCACCACCTACCTTGTACAGCTATGATATGCTGCAATACCGGAATCTGTAATTAATGATAAAAATTATTACAATACAAAATACAAGTGATTCTGCACACTACAACAGACCGTTAACCTACACCACGAAAAATGATTCAAACACAGCTGCTGCAACTAGACCATACAAGACAATATACCACGTTTAAGCAATAGATAGTGCAGTCAATGATAAAAAATTGAACACCCTAGAGGGAAAAAACAAATTAATGAGAGGCAAATATTCTGCGCGATAGTTACTAACGACTGATCCACAACAAAACCGATAAGACATAAAAAACGTGGTATAACAATAATGGCTGCAAACAGGAACAAAGTGACAACAAGTATTCACACTACGTCGGACACGAACAGAAATAAAAGACGGTGCCGGCGACATTCATCACGAAGGCTCTGTCCGCCGGACATCACAAAATGAAGATAAATGTCTCAGTGCCACCACACTAAACCAAAAAATACGAGAACTTATGAAACTTTGTGGCACTGAGAGCATGACTTTGACTTTTACAAAAACATAACCGGAAAACTCTGAAAACGTGGAATAACGAACATTTACGCGCGCGACGATAACAATGCGATTACGTACCCAGCCCGTCGCACACGGAGGCTTATCACCGCTGCCAACGATGGCTGCGGATACGCAACGCACCGCTATGCATAGCACGAAAATGATAATATTCATTACAAACTAGAGATGGAAAGTTTAGTTAATTTCTGTGAATAGTTCATAAGTTCACAGTTCGTTCAAGTGAATAGTTCAAATGAACTATTCTTAAGTTCACTTATTTTGTTGATCATACCGATATTGTTTGGCAATGAACTATTCGTTTTATCAATATTATTACAGCAGTAAACAGTTCAGTAGTAGTTCACATTACTTATGGGCAATTAAGTAATTGTTATCTAATTTTAAACAGCTGTTTAACATTTACAGGATTTTGAACAATGAACGAACCACAGAGAATTTTTAAAGAAGTTCGCGAACTATTTCATTTATACAATGTTACCAATTTTTTTGAACTGTGAACTGTTAAGTTACAGGTACTGAAACAGTTCAGAATAGTTCATCAAAGTGAATAGTTCAAATGAACTATTCGTTCACGAACTTAACATCTCTATTACAAACAAAAAACTATTGTTGCACTAAACACTATTGTTAGGTTGAAAAATTAAATTTTAAAACGTCATAGCAACGCGTTATTGTTAATAGCTAGAGCAAGGACTTTCATGCATTTGCATATTATTTCTGGTTAACTTAGACGATAGAGATAAATTTTTATCTTAATGATCGGTATTTATTATGTCTATTAGAACGATTAGATACGAAGATCCTGAAGCAATACTACTACCTGAACCTATAATTACTTGTTGGGGAATATGGTTAGATACAACAGACTATTATTGTAAATATATACAAAGCATTCGAAATGTTTTTGTAAAGTTGAATGACGATTCAGCTTCTATATTAAAAGTAATAAATATTTTAGACGACCAACAATCAGTGTTAAGACTTATCTAGATAAATTAATGTATTGTGACGAGTCGTAAATATATTTTACCTGTGGAATAATACTTTGATAGGGACCATAGATAAAAATAATCCCTCATAAGATTTAGTGCTAATTGAGCTACTGGTTGGAGGCCTAAGGAGCGAAGGGTAGTTTTATACTTATGTCTTATTGGGCCGGTCATCATTATGCCCTACCTTAGCAAATATTTAAATGACGCTCTTGATGTGGTTAAACTACGTACGAATTATAATGAAAATAATATAATGTCTAAGACCAAATTCCTATGCATCGATTAACACCAAGGCCAATTATGGATACAATTTGCTTGGGGTAGCGAGTATGAACCGTAAGGTACGCGAAATCCGCAATGATGGTCGCTGCGTTTGGTGAGTCGGGTCGTTTAGTGGTGCCAAACCCTGTATTTCAAGTCTTTCGAAAATTTAAGATGGGGCCGCTTCATATTGGGCCGAAGTATTTCTAAAAAGCCAAAGTTAAAGCCTAACAACAATATGTAAACAATTCTATTGACTTTGTACCTATACCTGACGATGAATTTTTAATTCGAAACCGGTCGTACTTTACAATTATAATAATACTCTAGGCTAAGCTTTTATTTATTTATTTCTATATACATATATATATACTATTTGTTTATTTATTTTTATATTATGTTATTATACTAAGGGCGATTGTAAACTCGGCCCGAGGAGAAAAAGTTTTCAAAAGGTCTATTGTAAACTCGGCCCGGGGTTTTTGCAGGTAAAAATAATTTAGATGTAAACTCGGCCCGGATAAAAATGTACATTTGTATAATTTTCTTATAATATTTTTGAGAACCATTTAGCATTACCCAGAGGACACCACTAGGAGGCGTTGTATATATTTCTTTTAACATACTGAATATTACTTGTAGATCTTGCACGCCAGGTACATTGTTTACTGCACTACAAACAATTTTGTTTGGCCTACTGCAGATATCCTCAGTTCCTTTGCGTTTGGTCACGGTGGTAACATATTGTCGTTGTAGTACTTGGTCCCTGATAGGTTCATGCAGACGATCATCAATTTTTTCCGTAATATTATTTATTAATTAAATAATTAAAATACCAATCATTTGACCCATTTTTCAAGTTGCGTCTCGACTTCATTTGTGACACATCTGCACACATAAGCCTTTGAAGTTAAATTGTAGTTACATAACATGTTATGTATAACGATTATATTTCATTATTTTAGTCAGTTAGAACGGCGATTTTTCCCATGCCTCCAAACTTAACTGTAAACTGCAAGCGGGGTGAACATCGCCGAGGACTTCGAATATTGATTTTTAAGTAGAACGCGCTTACGGTTGAATAAATAATAACGCACTGTCGATAACGTAATATCCGCGATCGATAAACTCATTTCGGTTACGTAAACAGAAAACATGCTAAACGGTTTAGGTATACTTCGTTTGTTAAGCAAGTCGTATTCGTGCTCGATCGTATTTCGTCGTTCCGAGTACTGTTGTAGCACAATCCCCGGCGTGATTGTCGGTTTTGTTTTCGTTACGATGATCATGTATTCCGCCAGTATAGGCGATCGTACCGCAGACGCTGCGTCGTTCACATGTAAATACATATTTATATTTCCAACTATAAGGTCATAAAATGGTGGATTGCATGACGTTCATTGGAATTCAATGGGCAATCCACTATGTGGATATAAAGCCGACTCAAGACGACCGGTGTACCAACGCAAGTGTTTCTCCACGAAACTTTTTCAATATCGTCGCGTCTTGTGAGCGAACGGGGGTGGATGGAATCGATATTTAAAGGGAATGTTTCCAAGGATCATAAAAACTAACAAAAATAAAAATAATGGCTTGCTTGGCTCGGAATTTACGATCAATACATACACAATTACTCATAGCTGGGAAAGTTATAACAACTCAATGCGAGTTTCGACGAAATCGATGTTACAACAATAAAATTGAGTTAAGTTGATAGTTAAAAGATTCGTTTTTTTTTAATTAATGGTACGAAGTTTGCTGAACATACACATAATGTTGATCGTAATTCATCGAGGTTTTATAGAGCCTGATAAATATCAATTACGATTATGCACCTTGAAACGAGAATTTTTAATGGAAAAATAGTTTAGTAAAATTGTTATTTTTAATTCTAAGAAATATCTTCAAGATTATTTTACTTTAAGAATATTTTTAAAATATTCTCAACTATTCTCTAGTGTATTGAATATTCCCCAATCCCTAAAATATGATTTTTTACGGATAAACCATTTATTTCTGTGAATTCATGTATCATGAATCGTAAAGAAATCTCACTTCCATTTAATTGCATGGACTAGAAATAAATGTGTAAAATCATAAAAATCCCACCTCTGTACATCAGTAAATATAAACGAATAAATATAAAACAAATATTATAGAATATAATCAAATAATTAAGCTTTTTTAATGCTCATTAAAAGTTAACGATTCGTTACCACTAGGCTTTCTAAACGATATTGCGACGAAGAACTCCTCAAATAATATGTTTTTATATATTTTACGTTACAACGAAATCTCAAAATAAACAAAGACAAGGGCAAATATAAAAATAAAGTTTTCTATGTGAGACATTCCGCCCCTGTTAAAGATGACGTATACGTGATCAGATTTCAAATCACTTTTCTATAAATTTGACTTTTTTCCATCACGTGAATATTAAAATGAGTTCCGTTGTGTGATAAATGAAATTTGATTACGAGAATCATAAATGCCACCGGATCATAAAATTATTCCGTGTCCTAAAAGCTTTAACGGTTGATGCGTTAACACCGATTTGTTTTCCAATAATTATATTACATTTGAATAGGGTGTAACATTAACGCCGGTTGGCCAATATTTTTTCTGTCCATCCTTTCCATTACTAAACAATTATTGTTACGTTCATTGGCTATGCAAATAAGTACATAGATTTGTGTAACGAAATCACTGTAAACAGACTTGCAAACACATTTCTAAAACATGTGTACATCGCAAAATAAACTGTGTGCCGTATCACACTGCGTTTGGATATCGCAACAAGCACGAAAAATGTAATGTAAATGCCGAATTATACGTTTATCGTGTCGATTACAATAATATACCATGGCGTGTGTAACTATTATTGAGCGTTCAACTATTTTCTCGTAAAAAAAAGGATTTGTTGCCCCTTTGAATGTGTAAACTACGCAAAAATATGTACATAGCGTTTATTTAGTTTGCGTTTTAACGTGAAAACGTTATGTCGCTAAACGATAGTCAATAAATTACTGATTTGTACTAATTAACGATTTCTTAACACAGGTTGTAATGTAATATCTACAACGACAGTTTAAAATTCCCAGGTGTCAATATTTCGTTATTTTACTTCGAGCTATTTAAACGATTTAGCTAAGATTGCAAGATAATATTTAATGTAACATAATCTATCATAATCAGATGGAAAATTTAAATAAATTACTTATTAAGTAACGTGGGAAAATAAATAAATCAAATATCTTTAATGTTCTAATTACCTGAATCAAGTATTTATAATGTCCAGATAAAGATTCTTTTGACATTTTTTTCCCGTCTTTAAAACTTGGCTTTGACCTAATTATCATTAGAATATTATCTTAAATATAAAAATAAATACTTGTAAGAGATTTTTTGCATAATTTTCACGTGAATCGATATGTGCTATCGATTTTTAGCTTGTCACGCGTTTTTAACGCCCGAGTTACCAGAATACTAATATCGGGTATCCACCATAAGTATTTGCAGGTCCAACGCTACCTAAAAAAAAAAAAAATATTGTTATTCATCGAAAACAATATTTCATAATTAACATTGAAACTCTTAAACAGCATTGAAATAGTCACATGTTGAAAAATAATGCGTCATTTTTGCGTACATAACTGCGATGTGTTACAACACGTAAGATATTACATTATTTTCGTTCTATTATTGTATATTATTAAATTTTTGTTATCAAAACAATACCAATCTCCAAAATGTAAATTTTTT